CGTGATGAACAGACGCGTAACCGGACTGCTGATTCTGACTCTGTGCTGAAGTACCTAGGCCGTTTATCACCGGTGAACCGATGTCGTGAAGCTTCCTCATGTGCTTCTTCAGATCGAAGTTCCTGCAGAACCCTTTGCCGCAGATCGTACACGAGAATGGCTTCTTGTCGTTGTGCGTGTGCATATGGAACGTCAGATTGTAGATCTGATGGAACGCCTTGTTGCAGATGTTACACTTGTACGCCTTTTCTCCGCTATGCGTCAGCTTGTGATTCTTGTAATTCCCCTTCTGGTGGAACCCTTTCTTGCAGTGCTCGCAGACGTACGGTTTGAAGTTCGCGTGGATACGCCTGTGGGTGTTCAACGTCGAGCTCCGGTTGAACGCTTTGCCGCAGGTAGGACACTGGTGCGGCTTCAACTCCGTATGGATGATCTTGTGCCTGCACAAAGTGCTCGCCTGGCGAAAACCCTTTCCGCAGATCTTGCATATGAACGGCCTAGCGCCGGTGTGAACCGGCATGTGTCTTGTCAAGTTGTAGTGAGCATTGAACACCTTTGCGCAAACCGAGCAGGTGAAGGTTTTCTGTTTATTGGTCGTGCTTAGCTCGCTATTTCGCGGTCCGGGGCTCTTTTTCTCACGTTGACCCTCCGTTGAGATTGCGTTCAGGCTCATCTTCGAGAAAGCCTTTTGTAGGGTGGCTGGAGGTGGAGAATTTTGTGGTACGGTTGGAGTGGTGGGCGACGGAGCCGGGAATGCGCTTAGTAACGAGTTCGGATGATAATAGAGAAAGGAATAAGGTTGCAGTAGATTCGGATGCCTCAACGTTGGCACGTATTTCTTGAAGGCTGATTGTAAGTGTGCCGAATAGGTTAAGGAAGGAATACTTGGCGGAGGAGGATGCGGTGGTGTCTGTTGATTGTTGCTTCGTTCGGTGAGACGTTTGTCCGGTTCCATGATTTTCGCGATAGAGAAGGTCAAGTTCTTGCAGGGTGCCGGTGAGGTAACTCTTTCTGACGGGAGGCTAGTCGGTGGCCATTCGGTCGCCATTGTGCTGCCGGTGGAGAACGGTTGCATGGTAGAGACCTGGAAATGAAAACATACCGGGAATCAGTTTGTTTTATCAGTGGACAGATAGTCGGTTTGTTTTCACGCTCGATGCCGCGGGGAGACGCGACGGGTGTGGGCAACAACGAATCCACCCTTGTATTAAACGCCGCCCATTTACGATCGTCCGGCTAATTTCATGGCGCTTATAAATGTCCTGGGGATTGTTTTAATTCGAGGCTATTTCCAGAGAAACGTGCTAAGTAATTATAAAAATTGAAAGAGGTAGGGTACGAACAATTCTGACAACTAATAGCGAGAACACCTTGCACAAAAAAGAAAAAATAGTTAAAGTAGGAATTTAATGGAGTAGGTATTAAAACGTTCGAGAGAGGAAAAATATCACGAGAAGCTGAGCTTGCGTCGATTACAAAAGAAAAATGTTAAAAATTTTTAAACAATTATAGAGAAGAATAGATAAAGAAAATGTCTTTCAATCGTAATCAAATCGATAGGTTAAATAGGTAACACGGCGCGCCAACGTGCACGAGGGCCGTAGAGGTCGCATAATGGGAGAGTAGCCAAATCATGGCGATCAATTTGATGACTTCGAGGACCGTCGTTAGTGGCCTCCGCGATCCTCCCTTCGCAGAAGTCTGTTAGTGTTTTAGTGCGCGTACGTACACATAGGGAGCAGAACGGAACCCACATGTCGGCGAATCCGAGTGAAACATGTGGTACCGCTATTATATCCACTCAATTGGCCCTCGTGTTGACATAAAAAAAGTACTGCTCGGCAATGAACGATGGGGGCTGGCAAACGTCGAACGGCGACGGAGAAATGCTCTATTTCGCACTTCGTCTCTAACCTAAACTCTAAACACCGTCGACTTACATTTCTCTTCCCGCTGTTTTTCAAATCAAAATCTTCTCGATAATAATTAAAAAAGAAAAACAAAAAAAATGATCGATAAAAAAAAATCACGTGATCTGAAATGATTCGTAAGAATATAGTTCGATCTAATTACGTATGCATACGCAATTTGAATGTTGATTCGCGGGCAAAATAGCATGAATATACAGGTAGCCATTAAGCATGTGCAACATGGAAAAGGGGGATGAATGGCGGGTCTGAATGAGTCGCGAAATGGTCAGCACAGTTGAAGAGCAAGCTTCCCCGAGGTATCACGGAAGGTTTGCACGTCGAAAAGTAGAAATGTTTGCTCCGTAGAATGGCGTTATGTTTGGACTTGGAATGACGGTTGGAATTGGATAGGACTGCTGGCTGGTGGCTTCGTAAAACACTCGTTCCCTACGTTCCACGATCCTCTACCACTAAAAACGAACCACCACACCGAATAACTTACATTCATCTCTGTCTCTCCGAGAAAAAACGAAAAAAGGATGAAAATTCATCTATAAATTAGAAATTTTCAACTATAAAAAATTCCATATAACCAACAGCGAGAGATATGAAATGTCGAAGAGCGACGGTGTCTGTTTAACCACGATGAAAAATGCATGCTTCCAGAAACGATGGAAATACCGAACCACCCCTCTGGTCGACAGGGTGGAATATGACGCAGTGGTCCTGCCCAAAAGCTCCGCCCATTAGCCGGTACCTTTCGATTGTCCCACGTCGAAAGGCAGCCCTAATAACCAGGGAACAAGGAGCGGAAAAGCAAGCCTGGTGTGAGAAGCGAGGACTCGAGAAGGGAAACGATCTCGTCGCGCACCCCCGTAACGCCCCTATGACCTATAGAATAAGCGTAGACGTCGACGTTCATCGTCATGGAAGCCGCGCAACTGTCGTCGAAAAAATGACAAAGGATATGATTATGTGCCTTCGAGTGGTCCCCAAAAAACGTAAGCTTCGAACAAGCAACCCTCCTCAACTACAACATTCTACACTCTGACCGTCTTTCTTTCTCTAAGTCTCTTTTACAAGCTTCTTTTTTCTTCTTTCTTCCTCTTAGCTTTCTCTTTCTTAATGAACAAGTTTCTTCCACCAACTGTCTCTCCCGCCTACTTTGCACTTTTCCCTCACCGCCTTTATCACGCTTGTCTTTTTCACTCCCCTTCTCGCCCTTTGCGTTACATTTCCCTCTTGCCACTCTTCCTCCTCCTACTCCTCTCTTCTTCTTCTTCGTTTCCTTTGCACCACGTTTTCTCTTTTACGATTCAAATACGCGTCTCTCTCTTTCACACTGAACGTGTCACTCGAGCTTCGTCTTTGTCTAACGTATGATGTGGTGGTTTCAACGTCGTTGTATCCGTCTCTCCTTCTCTCTCTCTCTCGCTCTCTCTCTTCGTCTTTGTCTAACGTATGATGTGGTGGTTTCAACGTCGTTGTATCCGTCTCTCCTTCTCTCGCTCTCTCGATCGCTCTCTCTCTCTCTCTCTCTCTTCCGCGCTTATCATCGCTCGCCGTTTTGTAAGCCGTCGCAGTTGAACCGGGCCACGAGAAGAAGAGGCAAAACTAGTGGGGTGAAATGGTGGGGATCGAGGCGACACGATTGGCCAACGGGTCTATCACCCCCGGAAAAGTGACAGGGGAGGGGAGAGTCGTTGGGGATGTGGTGGGGGCCAGTATTGTTACAGTACTTAACGAGCGGTCGAGGTAATCAGTATTGCTCCTTGCGGCTGCCGACAATTCTGCCAATTTGCCTCAATCGCGGTTCGAGCATGGCCGACCCACACTCAGGGACCATTTTGTTTTCTTTTATGCTCGATCGGGATCGATTTACCCGAAATTTATAGGACAGAAACATTTTTTTACGAGTCACCCTATGTTGACAGACGTACAATTTCATTTTCATCTTGGTTCTCGAACTTTTTGAATTTTTCTCAGATCGATCAGGATATATTTGTCGTTTTGTTAGAGTTGTAGATATTGACGGGGGTATTTTTCGATGCCACTCGACGATTACCGAACCCCCTTGCCAGGTGAGATCGGCGTTAAAATGTACAAAGTTTACCGATGCGGTTACAAATGGTCCGAAGAATTCAATCATCCCCTGGTAAACTATTAGACGACGTCGGTTGGGATCGCTGGAACCCGAAGAAAGTTGAAGGAGCTCGAAGGAACTTGAAATGGCTTTGCAAATTTACCCGTCCCTTTGTCGACCCATTAATTATCTCCTACCCCATCAACGATCGACCTTTCATTTTCTTATTCCAATTACTTCTTGGTTGTCGGAATCGTTGTTCTTTGATCGAGGGTTCGAACCCTTTAGCTGTAACCGTGCTTCAAGAAAGAATTGTATAGAAATTTTTAGATATAACTTGTCTATTTGCCTCTCACAGCTAACCTCCAAGTGGGTTAAGAAGTATTCCGAGAAGTTATTCTATCCACAGTTGATGGAATCGATAGGTATAGCGAGGTCGTAAATTATCCCTTTCGTGGCCCAACTATTTATTTCGAGATTTTCTTGTTTATCATCTCTAATGAGATTCCAATTCTTGTTGGAATACTCGAGTGGAACATACGCGTTCTTCTATAGTCACGAAAGAGTTAAACGTTACGTCGTGTAAAGTTTCTCTTTGTTAAGTATTAGGGCGCAGAGAATTTTTTTAAATAGACTTCAATAAAGGAACTATTCGTGTACTTTGACACCTAACCGATTCCACAGCCTTGCTTTATCTTTCCCACCAACTGTACCTCCTAATACACCATTAAAACTACAGGTTGACACGTATCCATCAAGATAAAACCCGGCCAACCCCGAAATATTCGGCAAGGATGATTCGAATCAACGGGCCTCCCCAATATGAACATTCCAAACGAGGAAGGGTCGAGTGGTGGGCGGATAGGAGTTTTGCGTGTACAGAGTGCATCAATCAGCGGCTCCTTCTGCGAATAATACTCTGTTCATGAGGTCACACGGCTATCGCTCTTTTCCCTTAAGTGGGCGATAAGGAAATAAGCTAGCTCGAATCGAATCTTATTGCTTAACTTTCTCAACAATCGCTGCTTCATCGTAAGAAGATAGCGTGTGCAAAATCGTGTCGCGAGTGCTTTTAATTCTACGCCTTTAATTCTAAGGTAGAATAGAAAACGACCATTTTCTATTTCGAAAATTAACAGCTGTTTTCACCGTTGCAAGGTAGCAAGACAGAAGAGAAATGACGCAGTTCTCGCGAGAGAGAGCTGTGCCAGACGCCGTGTAATTTTTATTAGAGCGTCTCAAGGTCCGCTCGACGTCTTTGGTGTTGGAGGAGGCCCATTAGCCAGAGCCACCCTCATTGTTCCATCCCTGACACTCGGGCTTCCGTGATATGGCGCGTGAACGGTTGACATATAATTAGCATTTGGGGTAACGAAAGCTCGACTGAGGATGACAGCAGGCACAATACACACCCACTTGGTTATCCTCTGTCCCATAACTCGGCCACAAACCCGCCCTTTCTGTCCCGTTCAACCGACCGTCGCGTACCCGTAAGCCGATTCGAAAATTAGCCGGCTTATAATCGGTCTAAGGGGTCCCTACGCTTTCTCAGCGAAATTTTTTTCCACGATCACCGCCGTCCCTCTCTAATTTCCAACTGCCACGGGCACGAAAGTGGACGTGGTAAGACATTTATTACGTGGGCGCGTGAGATTTCTGAAATGGTCGAATTTTGAGAAGAGATCGTTCTACGAGTCTCGTGGAATTATGAAAGTACAACTATTTACAGAAAATATGAGGAAAATGTTGTAAAAAATGCAGATAAAGAGAAAGGTGTAGAGAGCGGGAAATTCAAATAACAAATGGAAAAATTCGAACGCTATTTTGTAAATCAAAGTCGATATTTGTATTGTATGCAAAAAATCACGTGCTCTAACATAATTGAGCTAATTTATTTGCAAAAACTTCGAGATACCTCGACAACAAGGTGCTCCTTTTTCAAACACGAAAGGTACAAATCCACAAATTCGTCGGTCGCTCGAAATATATTCCGTGCTCTCTAAAAAAAAAAATCCAGAGCGAGAGAAGAACGTTAACAAAATTCCGGATTAGAGATGCACGGGGCTCGAGTCGAAATTGTGGAAAAATTGT